GGTTTCTTTTGTTGAGACGTTTCGTCCTTCATCCAAAGAACTTCCTCAGTCCGAGGCGCCACAACAAACTGCGTCCCACAAGCAGCACAACCACATAGTGAACCAACCAGTTTGCTGGTGATAAGATGGTTTCTGGGGCCCGCCCTCTCCCCCGTCGACTCCTCTGAGGCAGCCATAGCCAAAGTGGTTCAAAACATCAAAGTTCATGCTCAATAATCCAGGTAGAAAATCCAACAAAGTTCAGTCAGTTCATCTGGATGGTTTGGTTCTTTTGAAACGTTTCGTCCTTCATTGAAGGACTTCATCTGACAAAGTCATCTGGAAACCATCCAGAGGACCTGACTGAACTTTGTTGGATTTCTTTTTATTTTTTATACCTGGATTACTGAGCACGAACTTTGTTGGTTGGTCTTATTTTTATTGTTATTCATACGTAATTCTCTGCATGTATTTTACATAAAGTGTGTTGTAACCTAGAATTTTAAAAAGTACTTCATAAAAAAAAGAACTTCTTAAAATATGATGTACTACATAACCTAACCCTCATGTTAAACCCAGCAGATTGGATGTAGGAAGGACCTTACTGCAGTTACACATGCATATTTGTTATATCATCTTTAGCGATCACTGTATAAAATAACTCAAAAACTCATTAAAAGTTAATGTTAATGTTCTTTAGGACATCTATTGTTGACTCTGAGCTTTAACAAGTTAGATGCTCTTCTGGACGCCCCACAGATGTTGGGATGAAGCTGTGAGGGGCTCGCTACATTCTTCACAAAATGACTAGTAACAACACAACAAAAAAAACAGACTCACTTCCATAAATTTACCCCGCCTGCATTGAAACTTGTATTACCACGCTATGACCTCATTAGCAAGTCAAAAGAACAGCAGTAGAGTGATAAGTTGTCAAATACTCCAAGAGGTGAGAACTGGACTGGTGTGACGTCAGATAATTAACTCCTTTGTTTTGAGACACTCCTCGATAATTCAAAACACAGGACACTCTGAAACGCTCGTTTTACGTCAGAACTGGTCATTGGACTGGTTTTACAGCATAAAACACTGACGAAACTGTTAAAAGGGATGTACACAGACACATAGCATGTCTTTGTATTGAGCAATCAGTTATTCTGAAACATGCAAATATTTTGAAGACTTATAATAAAACTGTTCTCAGGACAACAAAGCCCTCACACTGTTTAGCTTTGTAACGCCGCACAAGAACCGGATTCCTGTTGAACTGGTTATCTTCGTCTACAAGATGCCACGCTGATGGAAACCAAAGCAGACAGATGTAAGCAACTGATTGCCAGGTTGGGTTGGGTTGCTACAGAAAGGAAAAGTGAACCTATCTCTTAAGAATGGACCTTATACAGTTTTACAGACATATTTGTGCTACAGATGTGTACATCTGTCTGTACAGCACTTTGGTTGGCCTAGTCGCTGTTTTAAGTGCTCTATAAATAAAATGGTACGGTACATATATTTTATTTTTAATATAAATACTTGGATAACTCCCTATTTGACCAACTTAATTATATAAGACAAAAGTAACAAGTGTTGAAAGTCTCCAAAGAGACTTCTTTAACATAAAAGGCCTGAACTGGGTAAACTGATGGTGGAAACGTCCTGTTTCACTGATAGTTACTGAATGGTGGACTTTTGGGTTATATATTTATATAAACATTTTCTAACGTTAAATCAAAAAAAGATTTAAAAGGACACGCATACTATGCTGTTCAAAGATCACTTTAAACACTCTTCCAGAAGACCAAAGACCTCAGTGCTTTGTTGGAAGGCGGGGTGAATCCTGTTATTGTCCCAGACAAAGTCTTTGGGGATTAAAAGCTAAAACTACAAGCATAATATTTTTATTTATAGTCATGACAGAAAAGAACATTTGCTACAGGCTAATAGCTCAGTTTATTCACGGTCACCTTTGAACTATGGAAGCAATTAATCAAAAAGAACACTCTGGCAGTGTAATCGCAACAAAACCACGAAAGAAGACCAAACGGCACAACTACTATAAGCTGTTGGGTGGAAACAATCTACATAGCCATTTATATCATACAGGAAAATGCCCCACCTGATGTTACTTTACCCCCTACTGGGTTCAAATAAAATCTAATTTTACCACACGAAGCGGTCACGCTGTAAATATTCCAGATACGCTGTTAACACCACAGCAGAGCGGTTCAGAAGGAAATGAGCTCTTCTGGCATGAGAAACCGCCTGAAGTTACTGCGTCCGTGATGACTGCTTGCACCCAACCCCCCACAACTGCACACCCTCCCTTCTAATAGAAAACTGCAATGACCTCAGCACAGTCGGAGCTGGGAAGGTAGCCAGCTTCGTCACCACTGAGCTCAGACTCAAACGGCCTCCTCTGCACAAAACGCACAGTCAGAGATGACACACAGATGTACTCCCCCTGTTCCCCTCCCCCTGACCCAACAGATCTCAGTGGTGAGAGGTCTGCCTGGCTGATGCTCCTGTGTACCTTCAGTAATGCAGCACTGATGTCAGAAAAGAAGCACAGCTACCATCAAAGTTAAAAAAGTACGCTTATTTTTCCAGTTTTCTACCTTCTTTTAAACGTGAGTCGTCAAACCAAATGACAACTACTGACTGACCTCAGGTCTGCCGTTAGGGTGTGGTTAGATGTTTGTGTGCAAGAAGGGGCTAAGGTCAACAGCTGTGCAAAGGCAAGACCAGTGCTAAGGCCACTGGTCTATATGTCCTGCAGGTGTCTACAGTGACGGTTTAAATGGAATAAAGAGGCGACTACCGGTGAAGAGTGGGCAATAATGAAACCGTGTTGTAAAACAGACCTGCAGACTTTACGGTCAAGGCAGTTAAAGTCGAGCACACACTATACTGCTTTCACTGACAGCATGATGGAATGGCTGCTTTGAGTTTATGTGTAATGAAAACCACTGGATAAATAAAATGATTGCCACTGTTGCGTAAATAATCCATATTATTGGAATCGAGACAAACGAAGAAACCCCACTAATAATCCAGGACGAGATACATTTGTAGAAGGTTACAAAAAATAAGTCCATTCCCAGGGATTTCACTGAGCTTTTACTTGTTACCGTGATCCCACTGCTGAATATTAAAGTTACATAACTATCCATGAAGGGAACTGACGCTCCAAAAATCTATCTGCTCCTGCTCGGATTAAATCATATCCTGTCCCGTTGCTGAAAATAGTTATTTGGGACACATTATTTCAGACTCCCTGGCCCAGTTCCAACTACTGTTGCCAGTACTAAGAATCCACAAACCTTAAAACATGCTGGTCCAGATGTTTGTGGACACACGCTCGAGAAGGTTCATAAATGCAAAGCAGGCCGTTTTCATCATCGCTCAAAGATGAAACAATGATAGTTTTACCTGTGTGTGTGTTTGCACCGTGATAAAGTTAGATCTCATAAACCCCTGGATGAATCCTACAGAATCTCCTCAAACATAAAAACAACTCTAAATCAGTCGCTTTTACAAATATCGAGCTAAAATTTGGTCTGTGGCGTTTCATCACAACGCAATGCCCAAAATCTTTACTTAAAATATCAGAGTTCATGCTCAATAATCCAGGTAGAAAATCCAATAAGGTTCAGTCAGGTCATCTGGATGGTTTCTTTTTTTGTTCAGACGTTTCATCCTTCATCCAAAGGACTTCATTAGTCCGAGTAGCCACAAAAGCAGCAAACCCACATAGTGGACCAACTAGGGGCGCACCGATTGCGGTTTTCTGGCCAATCACCACCGATCAATTTCTAAAAAGTTTGACCTGCCGATTCTCATTTTGTTTGATAAGTGACACAGTCCGGTGTTAAGGTCACAACGCACTTTCAATTTTCCAACATTATTTTATTGAAAAACCTTGAACAATAGCCTAGAAACAATACCAACTTGTTTTAACTGGCCATGAGGTGATGCTCTGAAATATAAATGAAGTTCAGACAATTGTTGTTAAAACTACAAAAAAAAAAAAAAAAAAAAAAAAAAAAAAAAACGGTAAAATCGGTTTATCATGAAAGTATCGGCCGGTTTCCCAAAATTAAGGAAATTGGGGCCAATAAATCGGGCGGACGATTTAGCCGTGCACCCCTAGAACCAACCAGTTTGCTTGTGATAAGCTGGTGTCAGTTGGTTGTGGCTCCTCGGACTGATGAAGTCCTTTGGATGAAACGTCTCAACAACAAAAAAAACGTCCACATGACATGACTGAACTTTGTTGGCTTTGCTTAAAACTTTGGCATAATTTGTTGTCAATCCCATTAACCTGATCACAGAATAACATCTCATGCGCCACTGGATGGTCATCAATGAAACTTTTACAAAGTAGTTCTTAGCTGTATATCTCCAATTAACTAACGTTTTCAAGTCCACCCAATTAAAGATAACTGCAACAAGCGACACAAAAAAATGGATGTACCTCAGTAAATTCATATATATTAATGAGAGTGCACGTAATTTGCCTGAAATAGCTAGATCTGTAATTATTCTTAAGATTAATGTTTTGATCAAATAAGATGATCTCAGAACTCTGGCACGAAAGGCAACATTTCTAATGCACATTTCATGACTTTAAAAGTATTAACAGCTGGTCAGAAGTACAAGTTTCCACTTCACTGTTTTTCTAAGGCTGAATAAAAACCCGTAGTTCCACAATGGACTGAGCAGCAGTAACAATCTCGAGACACCAACAAGGACTGGACTTCCCAGGCCTCGCCAGCCAGACTGATGGATGGAGGACTCATTGTTTGCTCCATGTGGGACAACCAGGAGCTCATTGTCCATTCAAATGAGATGCAGATGTATCACAGCTCAACTTACTCCTGGCTCCACGGAGAACTTTAAAAGACCAAACAAAACGCACAGACCACAGGTATCGACGACAACCCACCTGAATTCGAGGTAAACAAAACGTTTCTGCGCAGCTGAAGCCAATCATTAGTCAAAGGAAGACGGAGTAAAGTTACCTTTCTTGGACTCGGGAGTTCCGGGTTGTGTTCCGCTCAACTTTCTGTGAACCAGGAGCGACTTGTGTCTAAAAAATTCGTTTAGTTTCCCCAGAGGGAAAGAAAAAAAAGACAGCAGAGTCTTGTGCTTGTGGTCTAGCGTCCGTTTACTTTGCATCTGTGTGGCGCACAAAGCCTGCGGCCCCTCCCCCTTGCCCCTCCGCTCCACTCACGCGCCCGAGAGCTCCGCCCCTGCTGAGATTTAAAGGGCCAGTGTTCTATTTATCCGCAACAATGGACAGAACTTCAACTTGGTCAGAGAAAACATACACAACGAAAGAAATGGAAAATAATCTGAAGAAATGGCTTTGCATTTTGAAAAAAAAAAAAAATTATATATATATATATATATATATATATATACAACCGATCACTCTCAAGTACGTGAACGTTCAGGAAAACAATGACTGTGTTAAAAAGCCGAAGGAGAGACTCAATGGTTTGTTTAAAGATTCAGGAGTGATTTGTGATAAAAGGCAGTGGTGTAGTCTAAAATTTTTGTACTGGGTCTACTGTGCTTAGAAACCAAAGTACAACGGTTAGTACAATGTAAATGTCAAATTATTTTCATTTTTAAGCATATTGCACATTTCAAAGAAAGAAAAGCTCTGCAGAGAGTGGTGAAGGCTGCATGGAAGTCTGTTGGAGTCAGCCTCCCCAGCATCATAGACATTTACACCTCCAGATGCAGGAAGAGGGCCACCTGCATCATGAAGGACCCCACTCACCCAGCACACACACTTTTTGCCCCGCTCCTCTCAGGAAGGAGGTTGAGGAGCATTAAGTGTAGAACCACTAGACTGAGGAACAGCTTCTACCCTGAGGCTGGTAGACTCATGAATCTCAAACCAGGATAATCACTGTGAAAAAATCACTTCATGTTGCTGCTGATCTGTTTCATGTTGCTGCTGATCTGTTTCATGTTGCTGCTGATCGGTTTCACGTTGATGTGTTCATGCGTGCTCATCTGCTCACACAGACTCATGTTCGTGCTGCTGTTCGACGTATTGTTTTTATGCTATTAGTGCTTAGTGTATCATTTAGTTGATGTTTTTCTTAGTTCATATCTTAGATCTTATCACCGTTTTTCTTTTGCATTTTATTGTTGGATGTAACTGGGACCCTGCGTACATAATCTCATTCCACCACATGTGGTGGAACGACAATAAAGAATCTCTTGACTCTGACTCAAAATGTATCTGATGCTTATATTTGAATAAATGTACAACAAACTTTGTACAACAGTTGGTTTTGTATTAAAAACATGTTATAGCATTTATAAAACAGTAGTAAAACATGTTCAAGTATTACGTAGTAAGTACAGAAATATTAATTGTACAAAAAACAGGTTGAACCAACTCAATGTGTCCATAAAATGTTCCAAATGTGTTGATGACACGTGCCCAATGATATGTCACATATTAATGGGCACTTTTAAGTGGGTATACTGTAATTCCCAGGCTTTTCTAATGGGTATACTCTGTATACTCGCATATCACAGACTACACCACTGATAAAAGGGTAGCAGCAAATGCCAAATGAAAGGTTTACAAAACAGCGGTGAGACGAACTATGTATGTTGGTTTGGAGACGGTGGTACTGACAAAAAGGCAGGAGACAGAACTGGACGTGGCAAAGCTGAAGACGTTGAGCTTCTCCACAGGAATAACAAAGATGGACACTAAGGAATGAGGTCATCAAAGGTACAGCACAGGCTGAAGTAAATGTAGACAAAGTTAGAGGCCAGATTAAGATGTTTGGACATGTCCACTGTTGTTTTGGCTAATGTTGATTAGCTGTGCTGGCTATCTTGAATTTGGGTGAGTCCAAAAGTTGATCAGCTGTTTAAAAAAGAAAAAACAAAACAATGGGAACTGAGTTGCAGACATGGATCATCTTTGTCTTTACTGAGTTGCAGACAGTTTTAAGAGGTTCCGTCATTTCTTTGTGTTCCACCCACATGCACCTCCTCTGGTATTCCACTATGATGAAGAACAGGAGTGCAGCAGTTGTGATAGGTAAACACGAGATCAGGAAGGGAGGAGGGGGCAGAGTACTGTGGCCGAACGTCACTTCGTACTGTACGTAAGTAGTGACATACAACTGTAGTACATCATTGGCTATACTATACTATATGATTAGCTGATCAAAAGAAGAGCTTTTTGACAAGAACACATCCTCAAGATCCAGATCTCTTCAAAGAGCAGTAAATCCTCTAAGTGCTACAAACACACACACAGGCAAAAATATCAACTTTGCCTTTATCAGCGGATGATAAAAAATGGAAACAACAACGGTGAGATTTGTGGTAAACTGACATTTCTGGTGTGATATTTTCCCACTGGCATTTTGGTCTTTTGGGCCAAGATGTGATCTATTTTACTCTAGTTGTTAGAGATGAAATAACTTCATAAATTCAAGATGTCTGCAGCTAAAAGTCGGTCATGCACTTTAAAACCTTGTATATAATGACTTGTAGTCTGTATAGGAATACATTCAATAATTTAGCAACATAAAACCACACATTTTCATACTTATTTAGATTCAACAAATACACAATAATATTTTAAATGTGATGGTGACAATATGGGGAAAATAGTCAGAACATTAGGGAAAAGAAAACGGAATGAAAGTATTAAAAACCTTAGTTTTTACTCTGTAGTTATAAAGATATTAAATTTCACAGATAAATGACAAGTCTCCAGACAATTAAATAAGTAATTGTAGTTTTAAAAAATTTAAAGGTCCAACCATAATTATATCTATGAACTCATAATGGCTGTAAATGTAATTAGTGAGGACATGGTGCTTTTGTTTCTAATTATTACTGTACATTTACAAAATACACTCAATTTTACAGTGTCGGCTGTGTGACACTGATGCAGTGTAGAAACCTTCATGTGTCTGAGTGGTTCAAACAACCATCTGGTGCTCAGGTGTGAACTTTAGCCCACCTCATGTTGCTTCAATCACTCCCACCTTTAGGTCAAATCAAAGATTTTCTCATCTGTTATAATCATTATAGATCTCAGGAGCCAATTAGTGGTGCAACGTTTCAAGGATACAATGCTTCATTTTCCTGAAGTGGGTCCTGGTTCATTTATTGCTTCCTTGTGTAGTTTTGAGTACAGCCTGTAGATACTACAGAGAAATGTGGACAAAGTCTCTTCTCTGACCTGCCAGCTGGAGTCAGAACAAAACTGTGACTGAGTACATCTCTCTGTAATTTATATCGCAATTGTATGCGATGTGAGAACTCGATCCAAAGTGAAGGAAAAGTGGACAAAGAGAGCTTGACTGGGACAAAGGGTCCTCTGGACAATGTTCTCCATAATGCATATTTAGTCAGAAAGCGATTAAGCTTCCAACAAACTGTACATTAGAAAGGTGACTGGGGGAACATCCTATAATTAGCATTCTTTCAATAACTGTGTATTCTCTTTAAATCGACAACCTGCCCTCAGTGACGCTGACAAACGAGGCAATTAAATCCAGGGCTTCAAAGTCCTTTGAACTGCACCTTCTGTTGGAATCCCTTAACATTCCAGCTGAGGGGTTCTCAAAGCTTCTCATGGCGGTTTTTCTTTCCCTGGGCTCCCTTTGTAATGAGGACTACTAGCCCATTCTCTTTTTCTGTCATCGAATCCCAAAAATGGTAGAGAAACCGAAAGAAACGCGTTTCGGCAAACAAAATCTCTCCTGTGTGCAGTCCGACTGTCGAAGAGGAATTTCCCATGTGTTTTTTTTTTTTTTTTACAAACAGGGGATTAGTGATCTGGACACTTTCGTTCCAATTCCCTGTCCTATCCAATCCCATCTAATCTCCTCTCTTCTCATGCTTACGTGTTTAGTGGGTTAGCCTTGGATCAACAGATTGACTGTGATCCAATTAGCATCTAACAGCATCCGACACTGTACATGTCTTTGGTTATCGTTGAAAGGCGCAGGCAGGGAATAATGTTTTTGCAATTTACGTAAGGATCTGTTAGAACACCTCATGAACCACTGAACAAATGTTAATGGAACTTGGATATGCATCTACTACCAATTAACATTTGGAGTCAGCTCAATTCAAGGTGGCTGTCAAGGACATCTGATCTTAAAATAAAAAACAACAAAAGCTAACAGACAATCTAACAAATGTTGAGCTAAAATTTGATATGGTAGTAGCTGAGAGTCATTCACAACACGTGGTTTGAGTGTAACGTTTTGCATGAAATTGCACATGATGATATTTTCAAGACTTTATCAGAACAGCTACAACTTTGTCTTTACTTAACCCAAGATAACCTCAGTCTAAAACTGACATGGAAGGCAGTGGATGATGTGCACTCCTTCAAGGAAATTCTATAGGCTTTCATTTCCAAAGTACATTTAAGTTTTTTTTCTTCTTTTTTTTAAATACAACAGTCTAAAATATATCTCATACACTTATATGGATTCAGAGGGATCTAAAGTAACAGATAAAGTAGATTTTCTAACTAAAACACCAGGATGAATAATCAAATTGTGGTTCTCTGGGAGCACAGAAGGTCAGGAGGGACATCTTTAACCAGATAACAGGATTTCACATCATCCGCACGGAGCCAATTTACAGCTGCCTTGAGAAACACTTAGGTTTAGCTGGAACGCCATCTGAGAATTACTCACGGGCAGATCCCACATGTGCACACAAATCATTTATTTGCAAACTTTCTTGCATTGCAGAAACACAAATAGTATTTGTACATATGTTTGCAAGAATACTGAATATATGATATGTCCTTGTTTTGTCTGTTTAAGTATCACATTCCTTTTTAACTCTTCAAAATGCAAGGTCCTAGTTTTGGAACACCTCAATTATTATTTTTTTTTACATTAGTACCAGGTAATTTGGTCTAAAACTCAGTTAAACTGAGCAAATTTATTTATTTACTTTTATAGGAGAAAACTTATTTGAAATGCATCGCAGTAGTACGAGCTTCAGTTCCCACAGATCCAGCCCCCCGGCACAAACAGAGCAACAGGGCTGTGATCAGTCTTACATGGGGGAAACTAAACAGCCACTAGCCAAAAGGATGGACCAGCACAGATCATCATCAGACCAGAACTCTGTGGTTTGCACTCCTCTGCAGACCAGTGGTCACTCTTTCAGGGATGAAGATGTTCACATCCTTGATAAAGAGGAACGATGGTTTGAGAGAGGAGTGAAGAAACCATCTTTGTGAAGAGAAACCATCATTAAACAGGGGCGGAGCCTCCGTGTCCAACTGTCCCCCTCTTACAATGCTGTTATTGCTAGTTTCACTCAGCCCCCTGTGAATAGCAAACAGCCATCATGGCACTAACGATCCATTGTTAAGGTGATGGTCCTCTTATCATGTGAACAGCTAGTTTTGGATGTCATCAGCAAACTGGTTGATCCACTGTGAGAAGGAGCTATTTACAAGACTGAGTTTAGTGCAGCTCCTCAGACTGAAGAAGTCTTTTGGATAAAAGACGAAACATTTCAACAAGAATCAGTCCAGAGGACCTGACTTAACTTCTAATTAGATCTTCAGTGTTAATCAGCAGTTACCATTAAACCTTTATGAGACAAACATCATCTGAGAAAGATCATAACTGCTATGATTAAATTTGATGTGATTGTGAAGATCACAAGATGGCTATTCTGTTGTCACAAAACAATCAGATGTTTATTGTGAAAAAACGATTGGTTCTTGCGTTACAAACAGAAACATTAGAAAGAGTTATTCGTTTTGTTCCGTTACTTGAAGATTATTATCATTGAACAAATTGTTTGAAAAAAGGGGCAGATATAATAAGATTTGTTCTTCTTTCTGCTGCCTTTCATTTTAAATGTCTTGTATTTTTTATAGTTTATGGAATAGTTTCTTTTTTTTTTTAATTAATAAATTTTATACCCCAACCAGTTTCATAATTTAGAACTGCTGTCGTGACACTCACAGCTTTAAGTCTCCAACTGGTCTCCAGCAGTCGCCGCCCAGTATGTTACCACCTTTAGCATCTCTCAAAAGAAAAACAGAAAAAAAAAACCAAGCGTAATATTCTTTAAAGTCCATGTTCGAGTTTTCCTTCTTCCCATTTCACTTGAAAAGCTTCCCACTGAGAACCAGACCCAAAAAACATTGAAAAATAATTTATTTCAGAAATGTACTGTGATAATATATTCAGATTCTGCATGATAAGCGTTTGTTGCGTACAATGAAATCACCCCACATACAAAAAAAAAAAAAATACAAAATAAAACAAAGAAAGAAAAAAAATGGCTTTTTTTTTGTTTTTACTCTTTGAGCTATGGAAACTAAGATCACACCACTGATCAACTATAGCGTTGTGAGTGCGCCTGCCAGGCGGTTGGACCCCACCACCCGTCTGTGGCGAAACTCCAGGCAGGTTTAAAGTTGCTGCAGGACAATCTCTTTATACACAGACAATCGGTGAATGATCTGTAAAGCTAACACACACGAAGCGTAACCACACACACACACTCACGCTTTAGCGTATGGGAGTGCACACTCGCACAGGAAGGCAATTTGATGACATCATCTCTCGGTACAGGCTGAACGCTGCCCAGTGATAGTGATCGGTGGCAGAGAGGAGTTATCGCAACAGGGAAGGGAAATAAAAATTCAACGGTGTTCTCGTAACAAAAATTACACTTAAGCGGTTCTGGCAACTCTCCACAAACGTGACAGTCCCCGACATCTCGAGGCTGGCTTTCAAAGCGTTTCAGTAGAATTAGACTGATGTGTTTATACAGAAGCCAACAAAAGGGCAAAATATGAAGTATGCTTTGTGTCTGCAAGTAAAATCCACAGCCCCACGTCTGTCAGGAATAAAAGGCGTCTCTCGTAGTGCGGGGCTGTTGAGATGCCACGGTCCAGGGCACCGCAAGTAGTTCAGTCACAACTGGTGCCATGTTTCATAAATAAGAGTTTCTCTAACAAGGCAGCTTTGTTCCACAGTAACACACTCATGAGGAAAAACTTCAACACTTTCATTTAAACTGATATACACTCATTTTATATACCCAGGGTCCTTCAGGCGCAGCGCAGTCACCGACCAGTTACGGCAACGTGCTGTTTGACGATTCGATGCGTTTGTGTGCTATCCGATCAAAGAGTTGTCCCCTCCGAAATGTTTCGTCAATGTTCATTTAAAACAGGTCGAAAGAAGAAAAAAAAATCCCATTTGGCAAAAGTTCCAGCTTTTATCTTTTGTTTATTCGATTAAGTCTTTTCGCTTCACTTCCACGGTATGGCTCCATCACGAGTCTCCATCGATGTCGTTTCCAAAGACTTGATTTAGTCTTCTAGGTGTGTCTACTATATATGCTGTATATATATGTATATTTGTAAATGTTTTCGTGTTTTCAAGGAGTTGTGGCTTTGTACAGAGATTACTGATGAATGTGCATTCAAAGAGCAACACAAACATATGGGAATAAACGATAAGCAAAAGTCATGCAAGTAGTTTAAAACAAAAGTGAATAAATGTCGCAGACGTATTTTATGAACCGGTTCGGCGGGGATGGGTGTAGACTGGCACACTTCCACACAACAGACAACAAAGTGCCCTGAAATGTCTGTTTTTCTGCTGTTTCTCTGCATATAATCAGGCAACAAATAAAAAAAAACTATAAAATAAAGAAAACATGAGAAGAGACACAGATGTGATTGATTCACTTGGGGCGATTATGCATGATCCAATGCCATGTTGTTCTTCAACACAAGTTCCAGAAAGTTTGTTCTTTTCAGCACTTTTCACACAAAGGAGGAGAAGCCGGCTATAGGGGCCCGGGACCCAGGGGCTAGACTGCTGGGGGGCCTGTACAGGGTGCTGTGCTGGCTAGGGGGGTTGGAGCTCTGCTGGGAGGGAGTGGGAGTTCGGCTCCCTTTGGGCCTGAACAGGGTGCCTTGACCCTGGGGCTGACCCTGGGCTTGTTGAGGCTGAGGGCTAGGTGAGCTGAGCTGCGGTGGAAGTGGAGGAAGAGGGGGCAGAGGTGGTGGGGCACAGTGCTCTGGGTCCCCCGACTCGGACTCGGTGTAGCTGTAGGCCTGCGCTCGAGAGATTCCTTTCTGTTGGCGGCGCCAGGAATTGTAGTAGGTGGGGTCGCTTATGTAGTGGTTGACGAAGGAGTGGGTCTTCTGTCGATTGGGGTCGACCTCGTACTCACTGTCGCTGCCCTGAAGGAAAACAAAGACACGTTGGTTTCTGAAGTTAGTACATTTTGATTATTGCACGCCGAACACTAAAAGACGTCGATGCTATAGATGAAAATGAAGTTACTGAGTGTCTCATCAACTCGGTCATCTCTTTCTAGACAACAAACACACATGCACACAAATCTAGTTACAAAACAGCACAAGGACACGTGGACAAAATGGTCAAAGATGATCAAAGCATGACTGGATGGCTGATTACTGGAGCGTGCACAGTAGACAGACCATCAATACAACATGACAACGTTTGGTTAATCTTTGGGACTTTAACCAGTCAGTAAAACTTTAAGGATTGAAGGTGTTTAGAGCCACACCACCCTAGAAATACAGGATTTGGTGTTGCATAGTGACAAGTACCACATTGAACCCACAATATAATGAGAGTCTGAGGTTAAGGACTGGATGGAGACCACTTTGGAGCCATTCACCTAGAAAGCTACAAACATTTAAAGCAGGCAGCCACAGGAACCTCACCAAATGCAGTGGAAGTGTATGTAGGCCACCTGTCCCATATGAAAACACCAGCGCCTCCTACGGGTGAACAAAACAATGGGTTTTACAGTACATCACTTTTATAATATGGCCGAGTCAGGATGATGATAATGATGATGATCACACCTAAATACAGGATTGTGCAAAAGTCACAGCACCTTTCAGTTCTTCATAGTTTGGTTTTAAAAAGCAGACTTTACCGAGGAGACTTTGTATACATTTTGTTAAAACAGCCAAACGGAAGGTGACGTTTCCACACAACTGCACGTTCGCTGATGCAAGTACGAATGGATCCTCTGTGCCATTTTGTTTGAAATGTTAAAATGTTAAAAGATTTTTAATCAAAGTGTGATTTCACAAACAGGTGCTCAGTCAAAAGCAAGAACAGTTGGTTTACTTCTGGTTTTAACATTGCTTACAATTGGGTTTGTTTCAAGACCTATCCCATGCCTAGAATTAAAAAAACAATACACGATTGTTGAACACATACTAAGGTGTGCTCATGGCCATTCAATTACCATGAAAGCACTCAGCCATTTGGCCAGCCTGGGTGTGATTAATCACCTGGCCACAATGAACGCACGCTCAACCGTCTATGCCAAAATTGTCACTGAATAATTTTCCCAGAGGCTGCTTTAGTCATGCATACAATGTATTACCAAAGTACAACAACAAATGAGCATTCTGCTTGGAATGGTAGTCTGCACAAATGTTGGTTCAGTCCTTGTTCTCCCAGACCTGATTTCATTGTCTTAATCCATTCTTTACAGACACGAAACGTTTGGCTCGTACTTGAAACTCCAGCACATATGTGATGCATAAGGTGGGGGCTCAGGTTTCCCTCCGCATGATCCACTCTCCCTTTGTCAAATGCATTTCCCCCCCAAAGATGTCAGAAGAGTTTATAAATGTCCAAACAGATGTTACACATGCTGATTTGTAAGTAAGTTTATACTTTTGTGTTTTTATGTCTTTAAACAAAATAAATCAGTCCAGATCAAACTCATTTTCTCTTTTCGCCACAACTTCATCAAAGGCAGACGTTTCTCGAGCCACTTTCCTCCATCCGAGTTTTGGTTTATCACTTTTCTTCTCAATACAAAAGACAAATAAAGCATTGTGTGTTTGCTGACCACTGGTAAAGATTAAGACTAACAAGATTTGAAAAGCATTCAAACCAGTGTGTTTGGCAACAAAACAAGCAGATAGGTCGGTCCAATCACAGACTCCCCATTAGACACTGAGACAAATCGAGTAGTTTTCCCTTCATCTAAAGCTAGAAGTCTCTCCGTGGGTCCTTTACGCATAAATATCCATTAATCTAAAGGTCTCATTGGGCTGCCGGTGTTGGGAACCAACTAGCAACTCAAAATTCTCAGAAAAGGGGAAATTTCCTGTTACATTCTCAAGGAATTTTGAGTTTTTGCAACCAACCAAATAGTAAGTCATATGGTTGCGATTTGCACGGACAGTTTTTGAAAGTCACGGCCTATTGTCTTGTTCTTGGCATTGGAAACTGTATTTTAGGCCACGCACATTTTGTTGCTCACATATGCCCCCTTTCATCCATCCGTCCGTCCATCTATCCATTATCTTTACCCGCTTCTTCCTTTTTGGGTCACGGAGGTCAATGGTGCCCATGCCCAGCAATCACTGTGCTAGAGGTGGGGTACACCTCGGACGGGTCGCAAGTCCATCACAGGGACACATAGAGACAAACGAAACAAACATTCACTCTCACCTAGGGACAATTTAAAGTTACCAATCAGACTAACATACATGTTTTAGGTCTGAGGGAAGAAACCAGAGTACATGGAGAAAAAACATGCATGCACGGAGAGAACAAGCAAACTCCACCCAGAAAGGCCCCCGGACCGGGATTTGAACCTTCTTGCTGAGAGGCAGCAGCTCTACCAACTGTGCCACCGTGTTGCCCCTTTTAACAACCAATCACCCTTCAAGTACTTGAACGTCCAGGAAAACAGTGAGTGTGGTAAAGACCTGAAGAAGGGAGTCCATGCAGAAATTAATCATTTGATAAAAGGGTTGCAGTAAATGCCAAATTAAAAGTTTACAAGACAGTGGTGAGACCAGCTATGTATGTTATATGTTCTGGAGATGGTGGCACTGACAAAAAGGCAGGAGACAGAACTGGAAGTGGCAAATCTGAAGACGTTGAGGTTACCAATCAGCCTAAATCAGCCTAAAATGCATGTTTTTGGTCCGGGGGAAGAAACCGGAAAACCTGGAGAAAACCCACGAATGCACAAAGAGAACATGTAAGATCCACCCAGGGGGGTCCCGGACCAGAATTTGAGCTGGCGACCTTCTCGCTGAGGGGCGGCAGCTCTACCAACTGCGCCACCTTGCCTCCATCTTACCCATTTCTGAACACGTTTTAAACTCAAGAACCAAGCTTGCAGAACTGCCAACTAGTGGCCCACAGTCACAGCTCAGTGAGAGACTACAAGTAAAATGGCTATGAGACATTAAAACGCCAACAGTTGTGGAAAAGAAGAGTTAAAAGACGGTAAGAGTACCCTCCAGGTCGGCCATGGTGTTCCCAACAGATGCTCTAACTCTTACCGACTATTCCAAGATCTTTTACTTTTACTTTTGGTTCATCACCAGCATTAATAACTCAAGGATCCAACCGAGCAACCCAAAGTAAAGATGCTTAACGATTTGCCTCTGGGGCATCACGGCGGGTGATACAGCTCCTTATCCCGACTCATTACAAGCCAATTACTGCAGCTGAATGCTGTGAAAGCAGCAGACTTTGGGCATGAAATGCAGCATTGCACCTCAGCCTCAAGGGAGCCACATTCCTATTTATGAAATGAAATGTTCGAGACAGACACATAGCAAGCAGCCAGTGTTAATTATTTACCTTTTTTTTTTCCATAATTTTGATGTTAAATTAAGCAGTAAAAAAGAAGAAATCAGAGCAATTAAGTCATTAAACCACTTGACAGCAGCTTATTTATGATCGACACGATACGTTTGTTTCTGCTTATCACGGTAAATAACGTCAACAAAAGAAGAATGTCAGGAAAGAAAACAAGAGAAGATGGATGTTTGTTTTAATCCCATTCATTGATTAGATGCTGACCATCTGTGGCCATGTCTGGTGATTTGACAATTTATCTCAAAGACCTCTGACCTTTGACCTCAGCCTGCTGAAACTCACATATGTTGTCACCTCAAAGTTCATAGCTGTTTTGTTTAAAGATGTTGCTGAAACCAGTGCTCCAAAGTTCAGTACATATTGAATTCTTCTGCATATAAAAATTACTTTTCTCCACAGTGATGTAGTTTTAAAACTTGTTTTGCCTGGTTTTTTTTTTCGATTCTGCAGTTTTTGAGCTATTTCAACAAATCAAAATCAAAACGTTCAGCTCGTTCAGGACAATCCTGCTATGACTTTTGGTATTGGCGCAACTTTAGCTTTTTGAAATATTTAGCCTGTTCTGCCACTTTATTCTCATAGAAAATGAATAGAGTTTATTTTCCATCCTTCAAATATTTAGATCTGTTTACAGTCTTTTACTGCTCTTTCATATTTTGTTCAGTTTCAGCTTTTTTCAGCTTCCTTGTGCAAATTTTAACATGTTTTCATCTACTTTCAGCTAATTTCAGCTGTTTTATTCAGCTCTTTTGTGCTCCTTTCAGTTTATTTCTGCTTACTACATTTTTGTGCTTATTCTAACTTTATCCTGCCAATTTCAGCTTGTTATGCTATTTCAGCTACCATTTAGGTGTTTTTACGCTAATTTGAGCTTTTTCAGCTAATTCCATACTTTTGCACTAATTTAAACTTCTGTCAGCCTAATTCAGCAAGAATGTGCTCTCTCCACTTCATTCTAGTAATTTAAGTGGCTTTTTAGCTACTTTTAGCTGTTATTGTTCTAATTTCAGCTTTTTTCAAATAATTCCCATTTCTTGTGCTCATTTCTACTTCTTTCAGCAAACGTGTTATTTCTGCTTTCTTCTGATAATCTAAGCTTGTTCTACCCGTTCTGCTACATTTGTTTTTAACAAATTTTGGCTGTTTTCAGATAATTCAAGTTTTCTTGTGGTAATGTCTGCTACTTTCAGCCTAATTAACTTATTTATGCTAATTTCAGCCTTTTATGCTCCTTTCAGCTTTTAAGTACAAGTTTAAGCTTTTTCTGCTATTTCAGCTACTGTTTAGCAGTTTTTATGCTAATTTTAGCTTTTTTTTCAGCCGATTCCACTTTTTATATTTTAGCTCATTTCAGATCCTTCTGATTCTTTCTGGTAATTTAAGCTTCTTTCTGCCTTTTCAGCTACTTTTCTGCCATTTTTTTTAACAATTTCAGCTGATTTGAGCTGATTTCCTAATTTTTTGTGCTCATTTCTGCTGATTAAAACCTAGTTCAGCAAATATGTGTTCTTTCTGCTTTCTTCTGCTAACTTAGGCCTCTTCTTCAATTTCAGGTACAATCAGC